TAATGGACTTGGCTGTTCTTGTCGCTGGAGGAGCTCAGGACTTTTGTTGTCACTCAGAATGGCTACAGTTCATTTTAGAAGAGCTCTAGTCCTCATCTTGAGCGTTACTTTCTGGCAATGGAGAAGATGGTGCACTGCTCAGCCTCCTGGAGAAGCTTGTTGCATTGGCATTCCTGATGTGTAGAGATATAGTTTTGAGACAAAAGCCTGTGTCCCAAGAGAGTAGGGAACACTGGACTGAGCCCAAGGAGGGTTGCTGTCTGTTTGCAAATTCCTGGAAAGTTGGGACCCAAACCAGCAGATAACAGCTTCTCCTGCAGGTGCCCTGTCCTTTGATCCCTTGCTTGGGATGTTATCGGCTAGCATTTGTGTGAACCAAGTGTTAGGCAAATGGTGGAAGTCAACAGAGATAGTAGTTTGTATTCACTTAGGTAATTATGCACATTCCTTAGTCTGCCTTTACCCCTCAATAAATGTGAGATGCTTCTGAGGCTCTGGGCTCACTTGGAGAGAGACTAATCTCAGTGAGACCTCTGAAACTACATTCATCAGGTCTTCTCGTCCTTTCTTTTGGCACCGACCCATAACATACAACACTGATGGGAACTCAGCTTTCCTCATCATTGGAGGAGCTTGGGTCCTCACTGTTGCTGAGGAGGGCTTGGTACTTTTTGGGGGCACCTTGGTGCTTGAGCATTGCCTCCTAGCCCCAGTTCAGATCCCCAGCCTGCTAGCACAGATCCTTCATCCCACTGGCATAGACTTTCTAGCTTCCACCATTGAACTTTGGGCCTTTCCAGCACAGATCTATGAAGCCGGCCCTCATGAAACTTTGCTTTGGGCTCTAGGCCTCCAGATGGACTTGTGGGAGGTATTATTATGAGCTCTAGGATTTCATGCAGGATAGTAGGATCCAGGCCCTCAACTGGATTCTTTGGTCTTTAGTGTGTGGACAGATTTCCTGCACTCCTTGTATATGATTCTATGGGTGATTCATTATAAAATAATCTTATAAAATGTGTCTTGTATTGTATTGTTTCCTTTGCAAAACCCTGAATCGCAAGAAGGCCCAATTCCAAATACATTAAGGATTAGATTCCAACCAGAAAATTTTGGGAGGGATGTGAGCATTTGGTCTGCATAGGTCTTATTATGCTAATGACAGGAAAGTGTAAAATCAGATGTCCTTGCTGTCTTGCTTTCTCTTGGTCTTAACCATCCAGCAGAAAAGTATAAAAACGAAGTATAAGAAGTAAAGCCGGGCTGGTGAGATGGCTCAGTGGTCTAAATCACCTACTTAGAACAAGCTTAGCAAAGCACAGGGACCGCAGTTTGATCCCCCAGCACCACATGCCAGCCAGCCCCGCCCCCTGGTGGGCTGAGCTGGCCACACACACACACACACACACACACACACACACAAATAAATAAATAAATAAATAAATGTTTAAAAAAAAAAGAAGTAAAGCCATGCTGTTATGTTGAGCTGTAGGGGACTCAGGTCAACAACATCTAACATTGCCAGTCAAGCAGAAGACCCAATACTATTATGAACTACTGGACTCTTTTAGAATATTTTGCTGAGTTAACACACCTATAATATTCAAATGATGGAACTAAACAAAAAAGGGGATACAGATGAATGTCCATTTTGTATCTGTGTATTCAAAATGGTTAGGATAGATATATAGTTACATTCTCTTAATGAATAGAGGGATTTGTTCTTTTTTTTTTTTTAGGGATTTGTTCTAATAGTGTTTGTAAATAGGATATCATGTCTGCATCTTGTACAGCAAATAATCACTAGGAAAAAAATATACAATGTGCTAATTATTGAAACTGTCCTACCAATTTGATTTGAAACTGTCTCATTGCTATTTGTTTCTCAATAAAATGGGAAAAAAAAAAGATGTCCTTGCCATTGACTGTTCAGGTTTATGTGATATTTAGCAGTCTGTTGTCTTAAACTTTCACCTTGAAATATATTGTTGACCTGTATTACGCAATGAAAATATCCTTTTAGCCTATATATTCTAACTAACATATACTTTTCTGATCAGTAATAGAAATTAAATACTATGATCAAATGTACTGTAAGCATCTATTAATGGCTCCTAGATTGCCTTCTAGCCCTGAATTCGACTCTGACAACCTACTGTTGGGAGAGATGATCTGCCACAGGTCCTGAGCACTCATGCATGTCCTTGCTGGGCATGTCACAAATGCAAGGCCCTGACTGCTGTTTATCTGGGCAGTTTGTTAGGGTTATGTTTCACAGGGTACAACCTGTGGGATAAGGTAAATGCTCCTCCCAGACTAAAGCTTTTAGGTTTACTTTTGTTCCCCATAAGCAGGATGAATCCTCCATGCACAGCATTCCTCTCCTGTCACACTCCCACACACCGTGTATACATGAACCATCCTGAGCACTACTGCCCCCAGGGGACTAGTGAAACACGAGGAACCGAGGTGGGCATGAGGCCCTGCCTCCTGCTCTTGCTATCAATAATGAAGTCCCTTGACTCAGGAAATTCTCATCCTCTATTAGTATTTATTAAAACAATACAGGCTGGGGCTGGTGAGATGGCTCAGTGGTCTAAAGCACCTACTTAGAACAAGCTTAACAAAGCACAGAGACCATGGTTCAATCCCCCAGCACCACATGCCAGCCAGCCCCGCCCGCTGGTGGGCTGAGCTGGCCACACACACACACACACACACACACACATAAATAAAATAAAATAAAACAGTACAGGCTAACTTGTCAGCTTGTAAGCAAGATCAACCCTCAGACTGTGCAGTTCTCGTGGTCTGAGATAGGGCCTCCCTTTGTAGGGCAGGCTGGCCTTGAGCTAGAATTCCAGGCATGCGCCAGCCTGCCTGGCACCATGTAGTTCTTGACATATTGACTATGTGACCTTGGGTAAGTTAATTAAACTTTCTGAATATTTATTTCCTTGTCAACAAACAAGATGATTACAATGTTTAACTTATGGGATGAGTGTTTTGGTCTATTTGAGGTGCTATACCAAACTACTCTAAACTGGGTGACTTCTAAACAGTAAAAAACTGTTTCTCACGGTTAGAGAGGCTGGGAGTCTGAAATGAAGGAACCAATAGCTTTGCTACCTGGTGAGGTTCTACTTTCTGTTTTATAGAACTAATGGTTTTCTCTTCACTGCAAAGTGGTAGAGGGAAGCAAACTCTCCAGAGCGTCTTAGAGAACACTAAGCACACTCCTGAGGACTCCAACCTCATGACCTGATCTAATCCTAATCAACTCCCAAACACCCCATACCTATCACTATGCTCAGGATTAAGGAGTCAGCATATGAATTTGGGGGTGATACAAACATTCAGTCCATCATAACTAGTATGATGATTAAATGGACCAAAATGGCTGAAACACTATATGTCCTAAAAAAAATTAGTTATCAGTTGACATGGTTGTATTTTTTTGTATTATTGTTAGAAGTCCTTGCAACCACAGGTACTATGAAAATCATTTTTCTTTTTCTGAACTTAGAGATTGAACCCTGAGACATTCTACCATTTAGCCATATCCTCAGCTCTTTTTAATTTTATGTTGAGACAGAGGCCTACTAATAAGTGCTTCCCTGGCAAGCACAAGGGCCTGGGTTCAATCCCCGGTTTCACCAAAAAATATATAAATAAATAAATTGCCCAGCCTAGTCTCAAACATGCGCTCCTCCTGCCTCAGCTTCCCTAGTGACTGGGATTACAAGCATGTACTGTGGCACCCAGCTGAAAAACACGCTTGACCTATGTTTACATTAAGTTTACATTTTTCACATTTTTTAGTCTTTACATTGTGTGTGTGTATGTGTGTGTGTGTGTGTGTGTGTGTGTGTGGTACCAGGGATTTTTATTTATTTTTTTTAAATTTTATTTATGTGTGTGTGTGTGTGTGTGTGTGTGTGTGTGTGTGGCCAGCTCAGCCCACCAGGGGGTGGGGCTGGCTGGCATGTGGTGCTGGGGAATTGAACCACGGTCCCTGTGCTTTGCTGAGCTTGTTTTAAGTAGGTGCTTTAGACCACTGAGCCATCTCACCAGCCCCTCAGCCATGATTTTTAATTCTTGCCTTTTCTGGTTTGCTTGTTCCATTAATACGGAACTAACAGGGCCATCCAAATAGCTCAGCGGATTAAAGCGCCTGCAAGCAGGCTCAGGAGCTGGGGGTTCGATTCCCGGGCCTGCCTTGCCGCACGCTGAGATGGCGATTGAGACTGGGTATGGTGGTGCCCCTGTAATCCCAGCTCTTGGGAAACTGTGAACAGGTGGAGCACTACGAGTCCGATCCAGTAGTGAGACCCTGAACACCCTGTAGACCCCTCTCTAATATACAAAAAATTAAATAAATAAAACTAACATAAAGTCATGTCTGTCTTCACTGTATTTCCAATATCCAACTCAGCCCTTAGTGTGAAGTAGTTGCTCAGTAGATTTTCTGGAAATCTATTTTTTATATTATTATTATTATTATTATTATTATTATTATTTTGGTGGAACCGGGGATTGAACTCAGGCCTTTGCACTTGCCAGGCAAGCGCTTATTTTACTGAACTATCTCCCCTGCCCCTGGATGGAAATCTAGATGACTAGAGGGATGTAAAGATGAAAGGGATGGGTTGGTGGATTGGTGGGTGGACTTTGGATGATGGAAGGACAGACAATCCAATAGGAAGGATGAATAATTGGAGGACTGAGAAAGTTGTGCTCCATAAGTACTTTCAGGCTAATTAGATGCATGGATACATGGGTGGGCGGATGGAATGATGGGCGGAATGAGGGATGCTTGGACGTAGGTACGTGAATTTATACCGGGAGTCTTAGTGGAGAGTTAGAATTCCAGCTCCTCCTCCCAAAGGGGTGTTGCACGGAACGCAGCACAGGACTGGCCTGGCCGGGAGGCGGCGCTCTAGGCTGCAGCCTGCGCGCAGCCGCAGCTTAGATAAAACAGCCGAGAGCCAACGCGGGAGCGCGCCCCTCCATGCGCAGTGTCCCGTGCCGCAGCTTGTTCCCGTGTTGTGCTCTGTGTCCCCTGCTGCCTTCCGTCCTGGCAGTCGGCTAAGTCACTGCAGGGGCACGCTCGGAGCGTACTCTGCGCGTCGCTCCCAAGGCTTGAGATTTTTCGCTCAAGCAGGGGAAACTGAAGCATCTGTTATACGGGGCCTCGGCCTCCTGGGGCTTGTGGTTCCCGGGCCTCTGCCGCACCACGCTTGCCATCCCCAAGCGGTGTCGTGGCCGTCTCTACCTCCTGGGAAGGACCCACATCCGGCCCTCGGGACTTGGGGGGTTCGAAGCCCGGAATTTGCTTGTCGCTTGTCTGTACGGGGTCAGTGTTGCGCTCTGTCCTAGAACTGACTTATTTTCACCGATAGCCTTTAAAGGCCAAGGCCCTAGGGGACAGCGTCCAGACTGTGCCCTGAAGCCCTTTACTTTTCTTTCCCCTGCGTAGGCCTTTCTGCTTTGTGGCCTCTCAGAGGTGGATGCAAACTACTTGGTGGCGCTGCTGATTCTGCAGCACCCAGTGCCCGCTGCCCTCCGTGCTCCAGGGACAGGATGTCCCGGGTAAGTGCTGCTGTGCTGAGCACTTTGAGGACTGGGGGCCTTCTGGATCCTGATTCAGTGGGCAGCCCCAGAGGTGACGGTGAGCACAGACTTGTGTGGCAAAGCTCTTTGCAGATTGAAGCCTGGTGTAACACTTGGGGGTCAGAAAGACCAGAGGTCAGGTCCTGGCTGAGTTCCCTCACCATCTTGAGCTGTACCTCCTGTTAAGCAGGCAAGCAGGCAAGCTGATCTCTCATGAGATCAGACAACTGACTGCTTTTCTGGTTTTCAGCCCTGATGCCTGGTTACATATAATCAGTATTTCTGGAGTGAAAGTCGTTCCTCCTGCAGACTCTGTTGGAGGGGGCTGACGAAGTCTTTATCTGAAGTGATAACTGAATAGCAGTCAGAGTTCTTTGAGCTTTGCATTTGGACAATCTATAAGTATCCATCTGATGGTTTTGGCAAGGTACAGGTCCCAGTTGGAGCCTCTACAATTTCGTAAGAGTTTACACAAAAGATGATCTGACAAGTCCTCTGTTTCGTGGTCCCCTATGCACTGTTAGCTTCTTTCTTGTGTGAGAAAGGGCTAGTAGCAGCAGCTCACATTTGTGAGGCAGGGAGCTACTGTGCCAGAAACTCCAAAAATGTAATACCAGGATGGGTTTGGCCAGGTGATATTTTGATGGCTTATCCAGGTTTCTTGTTTATGACAGAGATGACAGCTTGGTGTAGTGGGGCCATGAGAGGTGTCCATCTTGCCAGGAAGCAGCTGGGTGACTGTGATCCTGAGTGAAGCGTGTCCTCTGGAGGGTGAGGGCTTCTGGCAGTTAGGTGTGATATAGGTGGAAGTGAGATGAAGGCACTGCCATCCTAGCCCCTGGTTTACCCTCCCTGAGGGCTTCCTTTGGTGTGCTAGTTGGGGATCAGAATCTGGAAGGATACCCCTGCCCCCTTCCTTGGGTGTGTTGGCGGCAGAATGCCCTTCTGCCCCAGTCAAAAGCAGGAAGGATTTTTGCACCACATTCACCTCTGCCCAAGTCTGAGTCACTTTGTTTTCACTTCCTAACTTTGGGACCTTTTCTTATCCTCACTTTTATCCACTAGAAAGCAGGGATATGATGACACAGTTTTCCTGTGGGTCACAACTCCCTGTCTTCTACAATGCAAGAACTCCATCAGCTAGCTAGCTTGCTTTTTTTTGAGCCAGGTTCTTGCTGTGTAGCTCAGGTTGGCCTTGAACTCACTAGCCTGGGCTGGCTGGCCTCGAACCGTAGCAATCCTCCTGCCAAGTGACAGGATTACAAGCCTGAGCACACTGAGCTTTCCATCAGTTCTCTCTCTTTTTTTTTTAATTTTTAAATTTTTTTTATTTATTTGTTTATTTATTTATTTATTGTGTGTGTGGTCAGCTCAGCCCACCAAGGGGCGGGGTGGGCTGGCATGTGGTGTTGGGGGATTGAACCGCAGTCCCTGTGCTTTGCTTAGCTTAGTTTGTTTTAAGTAGGTGCTTTAGACCACTGAGCCATCTCACCAGCCCCCATCAGTTCTCTTTAAAGGTGTCTTTTCTTTGCCTCCCCTGTCTGGCCATGTTGAAGGAGGGTTTGTAGGCTTAGAAAAAATTGTTGGGTCCTTGTGTTTAGTTGGGCTGGCTGCTCAAAGCTTCTGCCATTTGCCTCCTTTTAAGCAACCCCCCTACCCTTTTCTGCCCCTGCATTCGTAAGTGATCAGAAGGCACCCATGCTCTGGTCATTGGTAGTGCAGGCAGACAAACTGTGGAAAGAATCGTCCTGTGTTTGGAGGGTCTGTGTGCTTGCCTTCCATTTCTAGGAGCTTTCCCACACTTTTGCTTCTTGTCACATAGTGTGAGCTTTGGGGCTGCTATGTGTGCATTACCGTTATTATTGGGGCTTTCACTTCCTGCCCTGCCCCCTGCTTTTGTGTGTTGCTTAAGTTCCTTTTGGTGACCAGTAGAGTCACTTCCACTCAGCCAATCTGTGTATTTTATTAATCACTATTAGTTACGCTGGTGCAGGCCATCTTTTCTCTCTCTCTCTTAACTTAATTCTTATTTTTCACAAGGAAATAATAGTTTGAAATGCTTTTTGTCTCATCACTACTATGTCAAGCTCTTTTCTGGAGGCTTTCACACCCATGCTGCTGGACGTTCACTAGTGCTTCCTGTTTCTTGCAGGTGTCATGGGAGTTGTCATGTCAGGAACACCTGACTGCTGCTACCTCAGCCAATGACCAGCCCAGCCCGATTTTCTTGATTTCAAAAACAAAGTGATAAATATTTTTCCAGTGTTCCTGACCAAGTTGACTTCTTTCTGGTTCCCTGTGGCAGAGTGGTGCTTTGGGGATTTTGCCACTATGGAAGTTCTATGCTTAGCTGGACTGTTTTCTTGGATGTGACCCCAGTGTCATTGAGGTAAGATTTCTGGACAATTGATCCTTTGCATCTAATACATCTAATACATTCCTGTACATGTGCCCAGGGGCTTTGAGGGATGGAAGTAGCGAAGTTGACAGATGAGAAGACGGTGGTGAACCTTCTGCCAACCCAGACAGCCTAGGTCACATCTGACCCTTCACGTGCTGTGTTAGTCAGCTTACTGTGACAAAATACCCAGGAAAAAGTACTTAAATGAGGAACTATCTTGGCTCAGGATTTCAGAGGTTTCAGTCCATGGTCTGATGAATGTATTGCATTTAGTTCTATGGTGAGGCAGAAGTGTTGTGGCAGAAGGCCTGGTGGAAAAAAGCTGCTTACATCATTACAGCCAAGAAGCAGAGAGAAAGAAGATGCCAAAGAGAAAGGGCTAGGGCACAAAGTATACCTTTTTGAGCCAGACTTCCAGTGACCCATTTCATCCAGTTAGGCCTCACCTTCTGACAAGTCCATTCAGCTCATTAATTCATTAATAGATTAATCGACTTGATAATGATCCAGTTCCTTCCCAAAAGCTCATCAGCTAGCAAATAAGCCATTAGCATAGTGAGCCTTTTGGGGGCCACTTTTTTTTTTTTTTAAAGTTTATTTATTTAGTGAGTGCGTGTGTGTGTGTGTGTGTGTGTGTGTGGCCAGCTCAGCCCACCAGGGGGCGCGGCTGGCTGGCATGTGGTGCTGGGGGATCGAACCGCAGTCCCTGTGCTTTGCCAAGCTTGTTCCAAGTAGGTGCTTTAGACCACTGAGCCATCTTGCCAGCCCCTGGGGGCCACTTTGAATCCCAACCATCATACTTGTCTTTAGTGGCTGCTGTAAAACTAAAACTTCAAGTCTCACTTAGGCAATAAGAATCTCCCATCTGTCTGCCCTCCTTGCCTGGAGGTTAGCAACAGCACGTTGTAATACAGAATGGATGAATCTGGGCGTGGGGGTACCCTTCTGCTGCTACCTCAGCCAATGACCAGCCCAGCCCAATTTTCTTGATTTCAAAAACAAAGTGATAGGGCCAGGGAGATGGCCCAGTGGAATATGCGCTTCCCTGGCAAGCACAAGGGCCTGAGTTCAATCCCCGGTTCTGCCAAAAAAAAAAAAAAAAAAGTGATAAATACTTTTCCAATGTTCCTGCCCAACTTGACTTCTTTCTGGTTCCCTGTAGCAAAGTGGTGCTTTGGGGATTTTGCCAATAAGGAAGTTCTATGCTTAGCTGGACTGTTTTCTTGGATGTGACCCATTCGACAGGCCACTGGCACTAGTGTCTCTTCCAGGGCCATTTTCTGGTGTGTGCACCTGCATTCTGAAGTGATCATGGGCTGCCTGTGCCCTGGTCATCAGTTACGCAGGGAGAGGAACTGAGAGCCGTTTCCCGTGTTTGAAGGGTCCAGCCCGTCCCTTTCAAATGCTGGCGCTTTCGCACACTTCTTTCCTGCCAACACGTTCCAATTTCAGGAGACATGGGGGCTGCTGTGTGAGGGTCGGTGATGAGACACATTCTGTCCTGGCCCCTCTCAGCTTTGCCTCCCATTCTCAGAGACCAGACTATGTACACGTTATGCTTTAGATGTGTTTTGGAGGTGGAAGGAGCCAGGATAAGCTATATAGAGTGAATAAGTGAGATTTTGGGAGATACACAATCATTACTACAAAATCTTCAAAGAGAAGTGGCCTTTTGGAAGTGGTGGGTCTGGGCAGGCCTTAGAAGGGGTGTGATGTGATAGGGATTCTGAAGACAGGGGCATGTGGAGGACTATGAGTTTGAGGTGAGCAAAAGCTCCAGGTCCTGCCGGGTAGACAGGTGGGCAGGCCAGTAATGACAGCATGGAGAGATAGCAGCTGGGGTGATCCTTTGGGTCCTCAATGGGAGAAGCTCTAAGAGTTGAGCTCTTGAGGTGTCTCTCTGTCTGTTACATGTCTGCTCAGTTTCCCTGCTAGGAGTTTAGAGTTTTTGTTTTTTGGGATAGGGGTCTTGCTGCGTTGCCCAGGCTGGTCTCAAACTGGACTTCAGCAATTGTCCCACCTCCGCCTCTCCAGTGCTGGGACTATTGTGGAATGCACCACACCTGGCTGCATAATGGGTTCCTGCTGGCTCATACCACTGGAGGTTCAGAGCCTGTGGAAGTGAGGCATACAAATTACACCCCTGTTGTGAACATGTTAAACTGGTTCCATTTTAACTGTTTTTCTCTGTGCATTGATTCCTTTTTAAAGACAAATTTGGTGTGAAAAACACCTGGCACCTCAGACATGACTGCTTGGGAGCATTCTCATTGGTTGTGGCTTGAAGAAAGGTGAGGTAACACTGGAGACCAAGTCCCTGTAGTAACCTTCACTCTGTGACCTTATCACCCTAGGGTTGCTGCGCTGGATCTGGAGATTGCTGAAAGAATGTCAGGATGTTCACATGGGGTTCCGGCTCCCCTGAAGGGATCTCCTCATGGTGAATTACTGCCAAGAAGCTAAGTCAGCCTTTGGTTCCTCCTGAGGAGAAAATCATCAGCCAGGCCATAGGCCTTGTGTGACTTTCTCCCTTAGTTGGTTGTGATGTTGACCATGGACACTGGCATAGCAGAGTGGAGTGACATCATTATCTAGACCTTAGTGCAGTGACCTCTACACAACATGGAGCACCTTTTTACTCAGTATAAACAGGTAGAGGGGAAGCCCTGGAATGTGGGGACTTGGGGTCCAGAGGTGCAGACCTTCCACCTGGTTCTACCCCATGCCAACATAGCCAAAGGATATCATAGATGGGAATACTGGCTTGCTTTTTTCTGGCCAGCCTCCAGTCTTGCCTACTTCTGGTGTAACTTTCAGATGCAAGAGATCCTTGTGAAGTTTTCTGTACTGCTGTCTTCTTGTCTACCTCAATAAATTTTGATGAACAAAGAATGATCTGGAAAAAAAATGTTTTAAAACATGTTGTGCTTTGTCAATAAAACTTTGAAAAAATAAATAAATAAATAAATAAAACATGTTGTGCTATTTTTTTGGGGGGGTTGTTTGTTTACCAAAATACTTACATGCACCAGGTAGGCTGGGTATAGAGAAGGTAGTCACAGGGTGAAACTTCCAGTTTTTATCACTGAGAATTCCCATTTAGCACACTCCTAAGGCTTGACCAAGGAGATACAAGGTGGGATTTAGGATCTGAACTAGAGATTGAGTAATCCCATGTACATCAGGGGCTCAGGTTTAGGAACAAAGGAAACTGTTAGAACTAAGTTGGCTGAGTAACACTTGGGCCAGGGATTTGGAAGAAGGATGATAATGGGGTAGATGAAGAGATGGAGATGGACTGAAATTCTCAAGGAAGACAGGCATGTTCATCAGCTTTCTGATGGTAAAAGTATACCATGCTCTGAACTGAATTTAGGAAAATGATTTTGACCAAAGGTGGGAGTGGGGTGTATGAGGATCAGCTGCCCTTGGAGAACTTTAGTGGTGTGGTAGGCAGTGCCAGGGCTTAAGCTTTCCATTACCCCAGGTATATTTGGTGTCTGGCCAGTGTGTTCATTAACAATAATTGTAAGGATGTACCTAGTGTCTGTGTATTACCATTTGTGGGCATGGTACTCTGTCCTCCTTGATCAGGTATAGCCTATACAGAGGAACTCTCTTCAAGGTTGTGACAGGAAAAGGAGAATCAGTTGGTCCATTTCTTCAATTGAAATTGAATTCACTGTGACTGAGGCTGAGCTGGAAACCAGGCTGTGAGGCCCCATAAAAGTGAGAAGGAAGCATTGCCAGGGGCTGAAGAGTCCATTCTTCCAGCCACTTGTGGCAAAGGTCCTGTTTTCTACATTGCTCCCCACCTTAATTCCTACCCAAGGACTATGGGCCATCACCCATGTGCTCTCTAGAAGACTTCCTCCACATCACCCCAAGCCTTCTCCGGCTAGTTTCAAATAACCATGGCCCTTGTCCTTTAGGGAGAAATGTACATATTTTCCCCCAATATGGTCCCTTATACCTTGTTTCTGTTGCTTGGTGCTTTGACACTGGTAGCCATCTCTTTCCTTAATAGGCTGACTGTCCCCTTTCTTGGGACATCAGCTGTTGTGCTTCCTATCAGCTACTGAGAGCAGTGGGTACTTCCTTCCCCTTTACAGTCTCCTATCTGAGTCCTACACCCTGGGGTCCTTCATGCCCTGTGCTTCAGATCAGCAACTGAGAGCAATGTCTGCCTCCCTCTCATTTATTCTCCTTAGTCTCTATTTCTCTCATACTTTTCTTACCCCACTATCACAGTCTCACACTCTGGGGTTCCTCATGTCCTGTTAACCTGAGCTCCACAAAAGAGGCCCAGGATGGAGCCCTGGGCAGGAAGGGAAGAAACACACTTGCTCTGATTGGTGGAGAGGAGTAGGGCAGGGGAGCCTTGGCTATCAAGCTAGGATCACTTAGGTGCTGTGTCCCAGCCTACAGAAAAGGACAAGATTTCTTTCTTTCTTTCTTTTTTTTTTTTTTTTTTTTGGCTTACTCAAACCACCCTGAGGGCAAGGCTAGCATGACATGTGGTGCCGAGGATCAAACCACGGTCCCTTGTGCCTACCTAAGCTTGCCTAAGCAGGCTCTTTAGACCGCTGAGCTATCTCACCAGCCCTTTTTCTTTTTTAAATTTGTTTTTCTTTTCTTTCTTTCTTTCTTTCTTTCTTTCTTTCTTTCTTTCTTTCTTTCTTTCTTTCTTTCTTTCTTTTTTTTTTTTTCAAGATTTCTTTTCTAATAAGCCAGCCTGGCTAGTTTGTAGAAGGATCATGTACTTCCGGCCCTATTTCCATGCATTCTGGTGTCGTAGCTGGATGTGAAGGATTGAGTTGGAACACTTGGCACAAACAGGAAGCACTCAGTGGAGTACAGCTCTTTCCCGTGATCAACTTGTTTCTTTCAAACTAAGTGGTCTTCATTGCTGGCTCAGCCTCGTAGGTCTTTTTTCTACCCTAAGCCACTCTTGTCTACCTGGGCCTCCCCCTCCAGAGGGCAAAGGCCAGGTCCTGCTCACTCTCCCTGTGGCTTCTAATACGGTCCTCCTCCCAATACTCCCCCAGACCCCAGCACTCTATGACTTACTGGCCCTAAAAATGTTCTCCCTTCCCCGCAGTGTCCCAGACAGAGCAATACATTTCCCACTGCTGGCTCAGTTTATCAACTCCTTCAGGAAGCTTCCTTGGCTATCCCTCCACCCAGACCGCACTCTCTGCTCCTCTTCTCATGCCCATCAAGCGTCAGGTACCTGCAGGCGCAGATCTGGGAACTGACAGGCAAAACAGGCAAAAGAACAAATGCCTGCTTTCACAGGACTTTTCTAGAGGACAAGGACATGCCATAAACAAAAGGAAGTACAATAGCTCTGGTATGCTAGAGAGATATCAAGCAATGAAAAACTATAAAGCAGGAAACAAGATAAGAAGTGGGAGCAAGTGGGGGAGTGGCATTTTGCAGTGAGATGAGAGGAAGGCCTCACCTGGGAGGTGTGTGCTGAGAGAGGGATTCTCACCTCTGGGTATTCACTACAGATTGTGCAAGTCACCACTGCAGTGTGGACCAGGAAGGACAGTTTAAGTGGCCCATGGAACCTGACTCTCCCAGCCCCCACCCAGCCTGTTTGCCAGTAGAAGCACTGCTCTCTGCAGGGAATTCAGCTCAGCACCCAAAGCTGTCACTGGCAAGCACAGAATGATGTGGGGAAAATAAGAGGGGACAAAGAATTTTGCAGGTCCTGGGGACACCTGGAGACATCTGAAAATTTGTACCAGACACTTCAAGGACTTTGCCCACTGAGGTGCAAGACTGCCAGAGAGCCTTTTTTTAAAGTTCTCTGCTTTTTTTCCATTCATATAAAAGAGACACACTTTGTTGGGACGGATAACTTTATTACTCTGGGTGCCTCTCTGTACCCAGGTATTAAACCATATGCCTGGGGAGCTGGGGAGATGCCTCAGTAGAATAAGTACTTCCCTGGCAAGCACAAAGGCCTGAGTTCAATCCCTGGTTCTGCCAAAAAAAAAAAAAAAAAAAAAAAAAAAAAAAAAAAAACAACCAAACAAACAAACAAACAAACAAAAAACCCCAAACACCATATGCCTGGTTACTATCACAAAAGCAAGGTGTTCATTAGATTTGGCACCAGACCTGGGAGACTGACAGAGAGCTAGTTCCCCCTCTGAGGGGTACTGAAGTCCTCTACCAAGACTCCTCCCCTAGGCTGAGACCGATGGGTGACATAGGTCCCCCAAATCTCACCTTTTACAGCTCCTGCTGCTTCTGCCATGCCAGATCTTGATGGGTATCTCAGATGGGGTAACCCCGACATTCACACCATTGTCTCTCTCTTCTTTCTTCCTTCGTGCCTGCCTTTCATTTTCTCCCATAGAATAAGGGAGAGAGAGGCTCACTCTGCTTTTGTGCTTTAAACTTTAGCGCTGGTCTTGGTCTGGAAAGCACTCCTGGGAGGGCTGCTTCCCTTTAGCGTCTGACCAATCCCAATGTTTGCCTTGCTCAGCCACACGCATTTCACAGCTTGCGGTCCTGTCTAGAGACCCAGCCACTCTTTCTGACCCTCTCTGTACTCCAATGGTCATTCTGGCTCACCTTCTGCGTAAGCTCAAACCTCAGCCTCCTGAGCTGGCACTCAAATGACTCATTTATTTCTGTCACACAGCATGGCCATACTAGGAGCTGGACAATAAATCTCAGTGGCCTGTTCATGGTACTTCTGATATTTCCACTTTGTGAGATCTGGATAATTACTGCCAAAGACTAAAGAAGTGGTCTAGGCCGGGGAGATGGCTCAGTAGAATAAGCGCTTACCTGGCAAACGCCAGGGGTCTGAGTTCAATCCCCGGTTCCACCAAAAAATAAACAAACAAATAGGTTGTCTGAAGTGGCTTATTCCCAGGCCTTCCTTACACTTTGAAGTATTGCCACTCTGTGTTCCTCATACCATCTCTCCCAAATTCTTCTCCTTTTCCTTCCATCCGAGACCCTTCCCCTTTTCTCCCGTGCCAATTCTTCTCCGAGCAAAGACCCTTGACATTCCCTTGGCATCCTCTTGCCCCCTCCAGCTGAAAAACTCCTCGCACCCCTCTATCCCCTGGTGGCACTCCTTGCTATAGTTGATACAGAGCTTTCAGTCAGTCCGGACCCTGACCCATCTGTCAGTCCCCGATCTGGTGCTTCCCTCCTGATCAAGGCCTCTTCCTTACATTCTGACTGCCTCATACTCAATCAGGGATGTAGTTTGGTGCTCCCTTCCTAAATCCTGCTCCTCAATTTTCAGGAGGTGGCAGGAGCCAGGGAATTGTTTGTGTTCATATTCCCTTCTCCTTTTCAGTTCTGCCTCTGATTAGTCAGTGTCTGGATTCCTTTCATACCAATCCCACTAAATATATTCAGGAATTTCAAGACCTCTCACAGCCCTCCAATCTCACCTTGGACAACCTAAATATCTTTCTTTCTTCTACCCTCTTACCCTGAGGAATGGAAAGGAGTGCGTTTCAGATCTAGCTGTGGGTGGCCACAGGCATCTTCAACAGAATCTTCCGTGGTGGTGGCCGTCTTCCGTGGCCATCCTCTGGGACAATGCCCTGTTCAAAGGAGCCAAATGATCACTTGTTTGGTTGGGGCTCCCTAAGACAGCACACAGGGCAGTTAATCATGACAGACTGAAGGAAACCACCCAGACAAAAGATAAAAATTCTGCTCAGGTTATATCCTGCCTGGCTGCTACCCTTAGGCATTATATGGCCCTGGACTCTGAAGGCCCAAGAGGCTAACTGATTTTGAAGATTCATTTTATTATTTGAACTGCTCTAGATATGTAACAGAAACTGCAGACAGGCCCTCAAAACCCACAGCAGGAGTTAATTAATTTAGCATTTTATGTTTTCAATA